TCATCAACTTTATTTTAAGTCCGTATTTTGTTTTGCAGTGATAATGACCTTTTTTTTAGACAAATATAACCTAATATTTTGTCGTATATGGGTTTTGTTGTTCTGAACATTTTTATGACTATATTTTTCTGTTCATTTTGACTAAGGAATGTTCTCTCTACAAGGAACATCAAATTAAAAAAAATTTTTACATTAAAATGAATAATTTGAAACTCTTGTAACTTCAACTTTTGTTTGTCGCCTGCCTTTGATTTGATTTTACAAAGAACATGATATTGCTTTCCTAATAAATTAGTAGAGTTAGGTAACTATCAGACAAACAATTTTCTCTTTGTTTTCTTTGCGTGTATACTTGTGTAATGATAAGTGAAATAAACTAAAAAAAAAACGTTCATACATATCATGCTATTTTTAGTACTTATAACTTATTTAATTTTATTTAAAGTTTCAAATCTGTAGGCCTATTCACTTCAGTTCTTTTGCAGGTATAAATGCTTTTATTTTATTAAATAGTAGTATTTGCAGTAATCTGCAATTATAAAGTAAATGTAAGGTAAATTATTCAGAAGTGCAAAAATTATGATACGGAAACTATAGGCAATTATTTGAAGAAGAAAAGTTCTTTTTTTACCACAACTTTTTTTTTTTCGATCAATGTTCTTTGAACGTGATCTTATATTTGCCTTAGGCCATGGAAATATTACAAAATGAAAGAATTCCTGAAGATTTGGGAGAACATTCATCCTTTGATGAATAAACTTATTGAACTTTCTCCTTGATGGATACCAATTGATTGATAATCTCTATGATTATATATGGAAATTGATTTTGTCTTCTTTTTCTACATATTTAAAATTCAAGTTGTGTTTTGACATTTGTTTTCTTGACCTTGACCGTTAATTATCTTGCACCTGTTAACGGGCTTTATCAGGGAAAAATATCATTGAAGAGAAGGTATCAAGAGAAAGCGAACTCATCTTTGAAAGATGACAGGTGCTTGCAACGCTAGCTATATAGATATATTTACAGGAAGTAAAATAAGCTTGTTTATAATGATATGCATATAATTTCATTTAGATTCTGATTACAACGGTGCTGATTTTCTGTATGGTAAAAAGGTCAATTAGTGAATTAAGCATTTGAGGCATGATTACCTAGAAAGCAGAGAATTTTATTTGACATGGCGAGTGACATTAATAGGAGACCAAACCATCTGTTGTCCCATTGCAAGTGTCAGCAAATTCATCGATATATATGTATATATCTATTGAAAGGTTGGAATTTTATAATTTCGAAACCACATCAATATCCTTTATTGGTTAAGTAGATGTCTACACATTGATGGGATGAGAATTACATATAACAGTCCTTTAAAGACTCCCAAGATTCATATAACAGAACGAATCAGACACAATCTCCTGGAAACACCAGAGGTGGGATCAAGTGCCGAGGAGGAGAAAGCATGTCATAAATCCTATGTATTGATCACATGTTTAGTATGTACTCACATTTAGTATAAAGCAATAACCTAACAAATTATGTGAAACCCGTCAAACAAAATGACCAGACGATAGGTCGAGCAAACAAGGTCACCATAACGACTGTAGACTTTGCGAAACGCTGACTTTGATATGAATAAGACCAAACAGGGGTTTGGTGTTTTTTGAGATTTTGAAAGATTGTCCCTATGTATTCCTATGTTAAACTTGGATCACTCATCGTGGCTTCACCCTAGCCCGGGGGTCATGATATGATTCTACACTGCGTACTTTAGGATGCTTCAATATAAATATGACCAATCAGAAAAGCTCTGTTGAGCCTTCGGTTCTGGTGACCTTATAAGGTCTTTAATTAAAGTAAAAATTATACAATTCATACTCAAAATAACCCTCCCATCCCTCAAAAAAGTGAAAAACGTAGACTCTGTAACGTACACTGGACGTACAATGCTGTTGTTGAACGTACACGTAACGTACATAAAATATGAATATAAAGAACAGTAATCAAGTTCAAACGACAATTGAAACAAAAAAATCGAGAGCAGATAAAAATGGAGCCCAGAGTAGAGATCAGGTGCCATTCTCAACGAGTAACTCAAGTTTTAATTTAATATCAACCTCAGGGTACTTTATGTAAAGCACTTCCCACTTTCAACTGAGAAAAACTGCTTGCGAGGAGTTACATACTCCAAACGATTTCGTCTTATCGGCGCAGTGCACAGCATATTTAAAAAAGAAATTGATCAATTTATGAGGAAACATGGAAAACTTAGGGAAAAGTTGATATAGAATGCTCCTCTTATAATCAAAGATTGATCGATAGCAAAAAGGGAAAAAAGGTTCAACAACGTTTATCTATACTTGAATGGTGTTTTGCAGTGAGATAAAGAGACTTATATTACTCATTGGGTCACCTGGAATGAAATGAAAAGGGGAATTCTTTTATCTGGTTGTTTAATACATAAGAAATGAGATTGGCATTGTTGGGATTATATTAGAGCTCAGAAAGGGAGTTTTCAAGCACGAACTAACAATATGTGGTTGGTGGGGAAATGAAATGAAACAAAGTACAAAAGAACAATTATGAAAGACAATTCTTTTGTTGGGTAAAAATGGAAAGGTTAATATGAAAGGTTATATCGTAAAATATTCTTCAAAGATTTTATAGAAAGTAATTATAAACTAGAGAAATAGCATATCAAGCATTTGGTATAATTATCATAACTGAGAAAAATGTTATAAAAAATACTTTCTAGTTTCTTTACAATGAAATATTGAACATACTCAAAAAAATCACGATTGTTCTCCTATGTTATACACGAATCTTGTATTAATAATATTTTTATGAACATAATACTATTTATGGGCTCTAGAATTCGAAATAAAACATTCACAAACTTTATTTTTCCTTACTAGGAGAGTATTTATAAAAAAAAAATATTTTAATACTCATTCACACACTGTCAACCAATATGTCAGCATTTTTCAAAGTTTTTATATACGCATGTATTTCATAATTAATTGTTTTACAAATTTGTTTGAATTCTCTGTAAATGGAAATCAAGTTTACTTAGGTTTGACATAGTGTGAATTTTCACAGGAAGATTTATATCGGCGTAATCTGCCAATTAATGATTCCATTTTTGTAACAGTAAAATTTATCTTAATTAAAAAACACATATCTTCTGTCAAAATTACTCGAACAAGACAGATTGGGGACATTTGCTCAATATCACAAGTACAATTTGTTTAATGTTGTTACCTGTCACAAAGCATCTTAAGCTTCAGTCAAAGAATGCATATGGCGCTGACATCATTTAGTTAAGCAGTCTAAAATGAAAATGTTTTTAGATTATTGAAATTTTGACTAAGTCTAAGTCTGTTTCATGACCCTGGGGCCAGCAAAGACTTAAACGTGAAGTACAGTAAATTATAGTGCTGAAATTTTTATATTGATAACTTATAAAACTTATAGGTAATTTTGCAAAAATGTAATTGAAAAGTTTAAGATAATACGAGGGTTGTTCGAAAAGTTCGTGGACTCCTGTCATATCTTTTTTATTTAACGTCATATGCTATCAAATTTGGCAGAATTATTTTAACAATGAATCCAAATGACTTGTATTAAATTTTTTAAAATTATCATCATTTATTTCAAACCTATCTAGGATTAAAAACTGCAAAAATTGGATCGTGCAACAGGTCAAATTTCAGTAATTCACAAACAAAACACTAAATAAATATGATAATGTCTGCGGTCATATTCTCTCTAAAATCGAAAGAAAAACGTCAAAAATCCTAGACTTTTGAATTTAAAACTGTTACATTGATTCATATTCCAAATTATGACTTAACATTTTGCTTCTTTGAAAAAAAACGAATTTGAGAAGATATGTAGTCCTCATTGAAAGTGACAAAAATGATGACGTTGTTCAACATCACAGTGCAATTTTGTATTATACTCTGGAAAAATCCTGAATAAACTCTAAAAATGTAAAAGGAATAAAGAATTATGTCACGAGTTAGTCGTGCATGTGTTTATAAATGGTACAGGCGGTATTTGAGTGACAGAGACTCTGTATCGGACGAGGAAATCTGTGAAGAAAACGTTTATCTGGCAAAGTCTTATTAAAAACTTTAAAAACGTCATAGAAAGACATAGGCTCCTCAGATCTAGAGTTGCAGATCTTGTGAAAGCGCAGTTAAGTGGTAAAAAATTTAAAACATTGACAAAAGAAATTATACAACGAGAAAATTGTTAGGAGAATTAATGTCAAGTGCTAAAAAAGGGTTTTGGATAAGTGATTTTTGAACTATACTTTGTGAAATGTATAGGGATAGTATCTTAAAGAAATTATTGACGCTATGTTTTTGACGTTACATTTCCGTCAAGTATGCTCAGCGGTCACAAAACATGTTGAATTTAAAATGAAGTAAACGGATTTCTATTAAATCGAATGAAATGAAACTTTACACATCAACAAAGATAATATTTTTACATATGATAATGTGCTTATCTTAAATATTTTAAAAGTAGTATAACAATGATTAACATCGTTCACAAACTTTTCGATCAACCCTCGTATATATGCCTTAAACGGTTCTACATAAAAACTTAAAATAGACGGAATATGTACTCGTATGCTTTTATTTTGAAGTATATGAGGAATAAAGCCACTTAGCACTTATCGAAATATCAATAAGTATCTAAATATTTCTTAATATTGTCCCTCGGAGAAGGAAGTGCAGAAATACACGAGCTCATCTGCTTATCAGTTCATGGATTGCAGTTTGATTTAATCATAGTTTTAATATAATGCAATTTACGATGATAATTACAAATTAGCATTAAAATAGAAAGTTCATTAAGTTAGGGGTTAAATGAGTTCAACTTTTTTGGGGAGGAGTGTACTTTGTACTTTCCATTAATATGTGAAAATAGCGAACTGCAGACTGTTTGTGAACTTGAAATTGGATAGTCTACTACATGTAGCACTTGTTTATTGATAAACAAGTCCCCTTGTTTGCGGTTTTCAGACTACGTCTGCACTACGTAAATCAACCAATAATTCTACCAAATATTCCATACATCATGACTTTAGGAAATAACTGGCAAAGAAAGGAAAATAATTAAGGGGGAAGTATTCCGCCCGAATCGTGGCATTCCTTAATTAGACAGCGTCGTCAAGGTATGATGTCGGCCAGTCGTGTTTCAGAACCGTCAGTGGACAGTTATATATATAAGATGCTCTGGCCACTTGACCAAGCTTTACTCGCTCTGTGCTAGCCCTGACATTCATTTCAGTTTCTCTAAGCTCGTGGGAATGGTGTTTATACTATATGTATGTGACGCCTAATTATTTATTGTCATTTGCGTGCGCTAAACGTGACGATCCTTTCTCAAAGCTAAATATGCCTCGCTAAGACGCGGACACAGCTTTTCAGTGCTCGTGCATTCTTGATTGGAAAATTCCACGGTCCATTTGATTCAGTCTTCTGCAATTGTTATTCAAATTTGGAAGAGGGACAATTGACCTTTTTTGAAGGTAAATTGCAATTAAAAATGCATTGGAACTATTTAAAAAATTCTGATGATCTTGTTTCATTGAGATGTTGAGATTTTGCATATTTTCATATGCAGCATGTGTATAAGTGACCTTAAAATTGTTGAGAATTCACTAAAATTGAAGATACCTTTGAATCAAGTTGTTTCATTTATTTTAAACTTAACCCAGTAACTAAATATTATTTAAACTGTGATGCCTTTATATTTTGATGCTTATTTATCAAATTTTATGTTGCAAATTGAACAAATGCAGCTACAGCATTATCTCTCATTATTTTTTCACAGACTGATTGATTTATTTTAGGTAGATATTTCAAAAGGAGAATGAATTTAGTTCTCTGAATTCTTCTACAATATTACTAGTATTATTATATTTTATAATTTATAGTTAGTTTTTTGACAGTTATAAAATGTAAACTAATAAAAACAACCAGGTGATGGCAGAGCGCTAAATATGGCGCTTTAATTAGATCACCTGGACTTTATAACATAGAAAGGCTTTTTAGAATACGTTTTACAACAGTTACTTTAATTAACAAAAATAAAACTTTCAAGCTAAGTAAGACATGAGAAAGCTTTGAAAGGAGCTGAGCATAGATTTCATAAGGGAAAATTGAACAAAAAGACTGTTATTCCACGGTAGTGCATTGTCAAAAATGTTAATTAAACGTGATTCAATGTTAAGAGTTCAAACATAGGATAACAGGTGTTTCTAATTATTTGTGACCAAACTTCAGAATTAGTTTTACATATTATGATGTAAATAAATGGTTATCCGAACAACTGCATGAGAGATGATGTTTATTAGTATTTTATGATAACATTGCTTGTCATTAGATAGTGGGCTTTGGAAAATGTACGTTTATTATTGTGTAACAAACATAAAAGACCTCTTACCTGCCCTCATACATTGGCGTGTTTACGGCATATTAACAAACACATGTTATAGTGCACGTTTATGGTCATTCTAACATCGGCATAAGTGCATTGTGACTTCAATGTGCTCATGTTGTCAAAATTTTCCCGGTAAAATGTCTACCAATAAAAACATACCAAGATTACTGTCACTTGAAATATTCTATATGTAAAAATAAAATGAGTACTTAGATACTTTTTGAGCATAAAGTAAAAAAGATAAAATATATGAAAATTTTTTTGCTTACTTTCGATGCCATTTTGCAGCCCTGTTGTCCATCGGGAAAATCCAATTTTAATTTTTGTACTGAACATTTGTCCATACTCGAGGATCTTAACTTTGTTACCCGATTTCTTTGCAAAATCTTTATGCTGAATAATATTTATTTTTAATAAATGTGATAGGATTCGAAAACAGACAAAATGCGACTTTATTTTCGCCATGCAGAACGCTAGATGGAATATATACAAGAATATGTTGCCTTAGGTTATCTACATAAAATTGTTTTTACCATGTGTAAATGTTATTTACAATAAAGAAAAGGAAAAAAAAAACATTATGACACGAACAACAATGCAAGTTCGTGAAATTTTTGCATTATATATTTTTTTATACAAAACAATTATGAAATTTTTCTTTGCCATATGATGTTGGAAAACTTAAATGTTGAACTATGCCGTCCGCTTAATTTGTCATCGGTGGTAGAATTCCTACTAAACTATTTGAGACAATCATGTATTAATAAAATAAATGTAGATATGGACAAAATTATGTTTGACAATGATTTCTTCATGTTTCCTTTATTTTGATTCAGCACTATCATTTTTTCTCTAAGCACCATTTTACGAAAACTTCTCTTTCAAGTAATTATTAGTACAGTAGTGATTAAATGTTTTTAGCATTGATTGCATAAACTGGTTTCTGAATATGAATTCGGATTAGAACATTTATTTGTTAAAAAGCGTTGCATCAAATTAAAACAATTTCTTAAATCATTTGTCAAAATAATAATAATTATTATAGAAAATCATTGACTATTTTGTATAACTAGTATGTGTACACTGCTCGTCCAGAATAGACCGCTAACATATTGATTCCCTCGGGGAAGGAAGAAGTACATATATTTATTTTGGGTTTGATCTTTGAGACCGCTATTAATTGTTCATTAAGCGCACGGCTGACAGGAATATGTTAACATTTGACGGCTTTATTGCTTAAATGAATAAAGATAACTAAAGAAAGTTGTCTTCAAAGCTATTTTATTCGCTGACCTGCATTTTATACATTTAAATCGATCTAAAATCAATGAAGGGCAACTCAATTCAATTACTGCTCATTATAACCTGTCTGTCAACATGCCATAAGTTTTATGCTACAATGAATTCATTCAAAAATGTATTACAGCTATCACAGTTCTAATAGCTCATTAACCTAGACTTCTACAACCAAACTCTAAAATTTCGTACTTTTTTGCAAAAATAAAAGTAGCACATGTACATGATTTGGCCATACTGCAAAAAAAAAATTCAAATGATGATCAAAGTGTTTTCAAGGAAATATTTTATTATACTTCATGTCGGAGGGTAAAATACCTTAATAAGAAACTTAGGTCTGGTTACCCACATATTCAATCACAGGCAAAAATGCCAATATCGGTGAATAAAATTAGTAAGCGGAAATTGAGTTAGAGAAAATCTGCGGTCAAAGGAATTGTCATTATTACTCATGTAACAATTTAATGCACTATAAAGATTAACGATCCAGTACTTACAGTTTTCAAATCTATCATAGCTTAGAAAATTTTCCGTAAACTAACTGTCCTTTTTCTCACCTTGCAGATCAAGAATGTATGTTTTGGCAGTTGTAATTTTTGGTATACTGAACTATGCTGTAGAATCTAGGACAAGTAAGTAGTTTTAACAGATATCATTTGTATGCTTAATTTGCCAATCAGACGAATAGTAGAAATGTTGAGAATTGTCAATGATTTTAAAAAATGAAAGACAATCAGTACAAAACACCACAATTATGAACCACAGTTACATGAAAATTAAAAAGATTAATAAAAAAGATTATAAGATTTTATAATCGGTTTCCTCTTGCTCTTTATTAAGTTGGCTGTGTGCTGGAATCTGTACCGGGGACACGGAACCAGTTTACAGTTCAAGTATCAACAACTGGCCAATCAAAAGTCTTCTACTGTGCCAATGGTACAGTGTTCGATCAACAAGCATGTGTTTGTGTCACTAACATGGATCCAAACAGTAAGTACTAAATTAATAGGATATATAATAGAGATTGGATTAAATAGAAATAGCAAAACAATACAATCACAACAGCGCCTCTAAAATATAATCCAACAATCAACTTTAAAGAAACAAACTGATAATCAAAGCAAATAAACCTTCTATTGTCGTAAATTGAATTAAATTTATTGTTTTGTTAACTTTAATCAAACATGAAGTTTAAAGCGACGAGTATTTAAATTTACAGAGAGAAAAAAAAATAGCAAGTTTCAAGAAGTATATTTAAAAAATGTAACAACTTATATACAATATACCTTATCTCTCCATATTTCAAGGTATTCTTTAGCAAATTAAAACAAAATATGGGAAATTTTTTTTCCTATTTCACGGGAAATGGGTACGTAAAAAACAATAACTTCAAAAAACAGATCAATTCATTTTTCACTTTTCATGTTGGATGATAATTAAATGCATGCATCCTCGTTCTTTCAATAAACTTTTGCAAATCTTAATCTAGGGTCAAGGATAAGGTCAACAATGAGAGACATTGACTTTTGTGTAAGGATTTTACACCTTATAAGTTATTGTAATTTTATGACAGTTTATGAGAAGAAGAAACACTTGTAGTGCCCTTCAACACGACGTTTAGATACATCGTCGACGTATTATCAATTAGCTTTATCAATTAATATTGGTTATTTCCATTCATATGTCGACATGAAATAAATACATACCGATGAGCTTGAAATAAAAAAAACCCACAGAGCCTGACACATGTGTTTCATACACTGTATTTGGATACTTTACTGGAGAAAGACATGTGGTAACTTAACAGCAAAGGTTCATGATAAACGTCATGAATTCAACTTTTCATTCGTCGATTTTCACTTACTTTTGTAGCAGTATGCCTTCATCACCTGCAAATGGGTTTACTATGATTCAATTCCAAGAACACACTCTACATATGAACAATTTCTAAAGCGAGACAAACAAGTAAAAGCAATAAAAGGAACAAGAATATCTACACTGTTAAGGAATGCAAATACAATTTATCATTAAGTCAAATGCTGACTGGCGTTTTTCATACTAATTGTTTGGCCATTAATTAGATACAGAAAATTGTACGGATTTTTCGTTATTTCCCGATAATGACAAGGAGAACACGGCGGATTTAACTGGTCGGTAGGAGATGCTCACTCCTTCATGGCACCTTATCCCACCTCTGGTGTTGTAGATGTCTGTGTTTGCTCTTTGCTCTGTACCTGTATTGTATTGTTTGAATAACCCTCTAGCTTAACACTGTTCGTTATCTCAAAACATTTCATAACATATGAAATTTCTGTTTTAGGATATAAAAAATTACAATATACATGTAAATTTATTACACATGCTTTGGTAAAGATGGGTTTGGTTACAATAAAAGTTTTTGTAAGAATACGATAGGTTTTATGTTCGTTTTTGGTAAGAATATGATTTTTGTAACGATATGCTAGATAACAGTGTTAGTTTGTGTAAGGATATGATAAGTTACAACGTTAGTGTTGTGAAATAAGATATGATGAAGGATATGGAGATAACGAACTGTTTTCAATATCAAAGTCCATAAAACAATATAAAATAGGAGCAGAGCAAACACGGACCTCTAAAACATCAGAGGTGGGATTAGCTCCCATGGAGGAGTGAGAATTCCATGCTGACCGGTCACACCCACCGTGTGCTACTTGTCATGATCGGGAAATAACGGAAAAATCCGTCGTCAATTCAGTGTTTAAATAATGGACTAACAATGAAAACAATGAAAAACGTCAGTCATTTGATTTAATGATAAATTGTATTTGCTGACAAGGTCATTGTATCGACCAAACAACTCACGAAATGATGATTTTAAACGAGACTGCTGATATTCTTGTTTCATCAACTTGTTTGTCAATAATTTGTCTCGTTTTAGAAATTGTTCATACGTAGAGCATGCTCCTGCGTATCGAATCAACTGAGATATATAAACGCCGTATGCAGGTGATGAAGGTATATTGCTGCATAAGTAAGGGAAGTTGATGATAGAAAAGTTAAAGTCACCACGTTTATCATAGCGCTTGGTTGTTAGATTACCATTAACGTCTTTTTTTCAAGGAAAATATCTAAGTATGAAACAGATATGTCAGACTCTGTTGCGATATGTTACGAAATACGTTTTTGAAGCCCTTGTTAACAAGAACTGTAGTACTTCAATAATAAAATCACTGACACGCATTCCTATACAGTGTATATAAATTCGATCAAGTTATTATTCCAAAGGGCATAAGTTGAACCAAATTTGTGTACATATCTAATAGATTTCCACATTAAATAAAGTGTAGAATTAATTAAGCATATCTTTATTTCAAAAAGCTTATTGTTGATACAAAAATAAATCCATCTAGCAACACTTTTTGGTTTGGTCAAAGTTTTTGTTTTAAATGTCTAACATTACTCGGATAAATGAATACCCTAGGATTTCACGGTTTTCATTTGTCTTGGCATTCGACAAGACATTCAAGTAAATTTAGTTGTTTTATTTCAGTGAGCCCGACAGCTCCTCCCATTCGTCGGTCGACAAGAACTTCTCTGGACTTTCTTGGTCCTACCACAGTTCCACGTGAGTATTAAACTCCAAAAATAGAACCTACACTCCTATAAATAGAATCACGCTTCTTTGTAAAACTGCCAGCGTGCGGCTTCTTGTCCGCACGTCGGTCAGTACGTAACAGCTACCTTGCCTCTAAGCAGCACTTGCTTGCACTGAATTACTTAATAAAAAACCCAAATTTAGATCACTGCTTCTCACATAATGCTTTATGACAAGTAAATTAGGTTTGCTCACAATAATTATTGTGTTCGATTGGAAGTTAGGATCACCACAGGTAGGTTGACAGATCTTCGATTATTTTGCAGCATGTATGTTCAAACCAGATGTAGACCGCCATTATTACCTCGAGCAGGTACACATGTCTTCCTGGAAGAGGAGACCATGTGCTTACGGCACGCTTTTTAATGAGGAGAAATGCATGTGCATAGACCGAGCACCTATATCTACCTCAAGTAAGTCACGTGACATGGGAGTATTGCGTAGTAAACGCGGAGCTTCTTGAGTAACTCTTCATTGTGTGGTGAATTTTAATGGTCCTTTTAAAACACTAACACCAGATTAAATTATTTTCGCAAGTATGAGGTATTGGCGTTGGATTTTTTTCTTCTGTTTTGCTGTCTGTTTAGAATTTATTGGTTCTAACCGCATGAGAGTAGAAGCAAAATTGCATATTACATATAGTTGTTGCATGTCAGGAAGGGTTAAAAAAAATGCGGGGTAGAAATATTGCCGTTACATATAGCATATCAAATCAATTATACAGGAAATTCTTTAAAACTTGGGAAAAATATCAACTTGACAGTATTTCAGTGCTAAACATGAAAACCATGTTATTACATCTGAACTATTCTGCATTAATAACTGAATGGTTATTATCTGGGTTGTTTTAATATAGGGTATTTTTATTTCAGTTTGTAGACCTAGTTTTGCTTTAGATTTTGATTCCAAACCTATCCGAGATACTTCAAACATGCAAGTTTATCTAAGTAACGATGGCGTGGAGTCCGTTGTGAAGTCTGGACAATTTAACAAACAGGCTCGTCTTCATATACCCATGTTCTCCTGGATAGGTCACAAGATGACCATTAACTTCCGGTTCTTCGAGTGGAGCGGTGGGGACAGAGAACAAACTCTTATTGCCAATTGTTATCATTCCAACGCTTTGTCAAGTGGAATGGGTTCTGTTGAAGTAATGCTTAAAGACGAAACAAAGGAAGTTATTTTCCGAATTAAAACGACACAGTCACCGATGCGGGAAATAGCCGTTCCTTATCCTGTAAGTCACGTGATAAGCTAATAATTCTCAGTTCAAAATAATTATGTATATCGGTTAATAGAATGTGTCGCTTTTGTATAACATAAATATTGGTAGCATTTTTATAAATGTTTTATGTTTAAAATTATGAATATATCTATTACTTTCCTAGACAAAAAGCTGGAAAAATGTTACTTTGACATATGATGGAAGGTATTTCAGAGGGCAAGTGAATGACCGAGAAGCCACGGTTCAAGTTAGAGGTACTTTTTTGAAATTCCTTTTAAATATCACTATCTTTTCATTAAAAAAAATGAAAATCCTTTGATTAGCATACAGATGCAAAGTAAAGCAAATTTGTAAGATAAAATTGTATGTTAGAAGACTGATACTTTCCATTTGAAGTGCTTTAAAGATATTGAAGTTGAAATTATGGCTTATTTATTATTTAAGGAAATATAGAAAGCCGTGCTGAAGGATTTTATATTGGGCAGTGCCCAAGAAGAGCTGACGGCTCAAGACGAGCCTATGTAGGCTATATTGATGATGTGAGTAATATTCATTTTATAATTTCCATATGTTTCATTTCAAACACGTACAAAACACCAATGAGCTAAATACTTCCGAAAGTATTGACATCATTTTATCACTGACATCTGACATTTCCTTTACAGTTGAAGTTTTATAAATGTGTTCGGCCTGATATTCGTAATCCAGGATTACCTTAGACTTCCTGACTGAAATCCGGTAAATGGATAATCCTTCAGTGACAATCTGTGAAAGACAGTTGACCTCAGTTATCCAACAGAAGTTTTCCGAGGAATTCCCAAAAAGTCACGCGGATGAACCATGTCTATTTATAGAATGCAGTGTTTGATTTTCTTGGTGTTTGAACTGTACGATGCTAATTTATTGGGACAGTACATGGGTTGCTCTGTATTGTTAGAGCTACATGGTGTGATACTCAGGTACCTTTTAATGTGACAATGTTTCTGTCTGCTGTTTGTATTGTGTAAACATTTTTTTCTATCGACGTGTTATATGTTCTAGTTGAAGATTGTAAATACAAACTTTATTGTTGATGATACCTCATTTAAACACAGTGACTATTATTATTATTTTTTTTTTTGCTTTTTCCTGATTAAAAGTTAAATGAGCATTTATGCGTTTCTCAAGGGATCTGTGTTTAGGCAGGTCATGTTGATTTCTTGTTAGCAATACGGTTTGTCATTAAGTCTAATGCTAGCTGAGTTTTCCAAACTAATTGTTAGGCCATTATATAAATACCGAATTGTCGACGGTTTTTTACGTTATTTCCCAGTCATGACAAGAGTACATGGCGGTAGTGACCGGTCTGCAGGGGATGCTCACTACACCATGGTACCTGATCCCACCTGGGTCCGCCGTCGTAAAACTGATAATTCTCAAAAAAATTCTCAACTCAACTCTTGAGAATTACTCAACTGAGAATCTGAAAATAAAAGAGTTTAAGGAATTTTTATTTTTCACAACTTTTTATGACGGCCGCTGAGTCTGAGAATTTTGGATTTAAGAAGAAAATATTCTGATGTTTCATGTAAGTATTACATTTGCTCTGTCAAATAAACAAACATTGAAAATAAAATATAAAGCGACATAAACATAATTACTTATATATAATATAAAATGAGGAGCTTAATTCAGGTCAATTTTTATCCCGAGGAAAAGTTGAAGCATGAAGAAAAATTTTATAGATGTGAAATGTAATTATTTTAAAGGATTTTAGCCAGTAGTGCATTCTTTCTCTTATAGCAGTCATTTGTTTAAAGAAACTCATTTAAAACAAACCTCTATGGTCATTTGATTTATTTTTCTAATTAAAACAAAGTTTAAAACACATTAAGTAATGGAGTTGTTATTTATATAGTAATTTGTATATATAATTGATGCGAAATTTATATAAATTATACGTGTTAACTACTTAAGCTAAATAGGATGACACGGGATATTTGATGTTTGTTTGTCTTAAAGCATTAACCGTTGGTATTTATTGCCTCCACCTGCTTTTCATGTGCGGCACGCTGCTACACGGAAAAAGATGTACGAACCACAGAGGGTTTGCAATATTCATTGCTTCAAATGAAAAAAAAAAATTAATTAATTATCAATCTGCCACACCTATAGCTAGTTTAAGCCTGTGGAAGCTGTACAAATATCTTTTGTGTGGCTTTATCATCCTCTGATACAAAATACACAGGGTTTTTAACCGTGGAGTTAAAAAAGTGCAACATAATTTATTCGAAAACTGGCATTTATCAACAGCGAATATTATATTATCTTTATACAAATCTCAATGAACTGCATATCTGTGGTCTTTGATAAAAAGCAGACTGGTATTACAGGTATGCACTTCTATGCGTGATCAAAATACTCCAGTACATCCGCGGGCAAACAGTTATAGAACCACTGGAACTAAACCACAAAAGGCAAATTATGTTTAGCAGAATTACAATCCCAGATCTAATCCTCTTCAAACAAATATAATGTTAAGTTGTATTCAAATGCTTAACATTGCACATTTTGATAGAAAATAAGTTGAAACACTAAATGTGAGTACTTACATAGTCGACTGTGCCTTCAAAAGGACTCAATTCGTTCCCGACCCCTCTCCCAAGATAAAGGGGGGAGTTACAGTGAAAATGTGGCTCAGCTGTAAGACATATAAAATGATTTGGTTTTAGAACAGGAAAAACATGCCTTTTATAATTTGAGAGCAGAATTCATTTGTAGCTTTAGTGTCTCTTGTAAAAAAAATAAACCTTAACCAATCAAACACATAAATAAAACAAAAAACTAAGCCAAAAAAAAAAAAAAAAGAATAAAGAAAATAAGGAATACAAATTTTCAATAACTTCCCAAATGAAAAAATAAAAATTCACTCTGAAGCCAATAACACATCTAAATTGACATGTGATAATTTTTTAGATTTAAAAAACGTTATATTTGTTTCTGGTACGTTATCTGGTAATAAATCTTTATTCAAACCTGGTAATGCCATCGTGACGTCACTTTCTCGTATTGCAGACCTTAAGTTTCCATCATCATACGTCGTCCACATGGCGACTTTATGTCCCTTAGACGCCAAAGTCAGCGTGGTCTGTTGTTGGTATCGTAAAGCCTTAAAAATTAGACAAGTTACTGATTAGAAATGAAGTTAAATATCGTAAAAAAATAATATTTTTCCATTTTCACCCCTAGCCCCCATAAGAATTCTGATCAGTAAAACCCAATTTATAAATTTTGCAAATATTTTCTTTTAACAATATGATAATGATCTTGCAAAAAAAAAATTAAACAAATTTTTACGTAATAATTTGAAGAGATGAAAAAGACGTGGATAAATCATACTATTAATATCAAACCATATTATAAAATAAGATATTTAATGCATAGCTGGAAAAAATGTATACATAAACTCTTTGTTACAAGGATCGTTCAATATTATTGTATATTGTATATTGTTTAACGTCCCTCTCCAGAATATTTCACTGATATGGAGACGTCACAATTGCCGGTGAAGGGCTGCAAATTTGGGCCTATGCTCGGCACTCAGGGCCATTGAGCAGGGAGGGATCTTTATCGTGCCACACCTGCTGTGACATGGGGCCTCGGTTTATACGGTCTCATCCGAAGGACCGCCCCATTTAGTCGCCTTTTACGACAAGCAAGGGGGTACTGAGGACCTATTCTAACCCGAATCCCCACGGGACGGATCGTTCAATAAGTAATGATGCAAACCATTTATTACTAGCATTACAAATGTTGAGTTATTTTAATTCATTTTGGTCAAACGTTCATAAAAGAACGGTCTAATAAAGGAAAACTTCATATTTTGTACTATCCTAGCTAGGAATTCACTTGTAATGAAACACATATGGAGACATAACAGTTATCACGGAAAATATGGTCAATACAAAGAGTCGTTAATTGTTAAAAATGTTTTCTCTTGAGAAGAGGAAGATGTCAAGACTTCCACGCAGTTTATCATTCAGGTAGATTATGTACAAAAAGACCTCAGGGATTTCGGTCGAGCTGGTTGAAGGAAGCATGTAAAGATGTCTAACATTTATCAAGGCTGTAAGCAACATACGAAAATGACAGATTTACATCGAAAGATATTGCTAAGCCTCAATATTTGGCGAGTGCAAAAGTAAACAGAGTTCTGATAATTTTAAAAAAAAAATCCTTGATATCGAACATCTGAAACATAAATCCTCCAACGCGTTTATGTTTTTCTTCACACTACATTAAACAACATACAAACAAACACCCTACAACTATATTCCTACTGAACATGACAAATCCCGATCTTTCGAGTGGCGTCAAAAATTCAATAAGACCTATATATTCTGTGGAAGATTAAGCCAGGCGGTGGGACAAACATGTAAAAGAAAAACATCGAATCTTTGTCGCTTGGATAAAAAGAATCAGATGTACAGATATACGTTAAAATCTTGCGCATCAAGAGACTAATTAAGTGGCAATATGAAAATCATCCATCCTTCTGTGTTCAATAATTCAGAACTGAAAAAAAGAATTGGATAGATTACAAAATCAGTATGCATTGGTCCGAGCTGATAAAGCAGGACACAATACTACAATAATGTATTAAATGTATTATTTTTGTCTCCATGTTTCTTTTCAAAAAAGACATCTAGAAGATAAAAGTCGCTAAACGTGCCAATGTTTTATCACTTTTAAAATAAGATATTTAACAAAAGATAATTTTGTTACTGGATAACGAAAAGTTTTTTAGCCAAAAAGGAGAATCAATATCAAAACTAGTTTTAATTGTAACGGGGACCGTTACAGATGTTCCCCAAACGCTCCCCATATCCCTTTTTGTGCCATTTTCTTGTAAGACTTTTTTAAAAATATGCTCAGTATCAAAGATTTCATCAAAGAATTATAAAAACTTAAATGATATCAATTATATCCCATTTAACGTATTGCACGCGCACGCACTTGCATGCACATGCAAGATGATCAAGGCATGTTGTTCAAACCAATCAATAAAAATATCATAAAAATATGTTACCATTTTTCGAATATATTGGTGATTTTATGTATTGCGCGTACGCACATGCATGCATGCATGTCCTTGCATTCAAATTTGATAGTAGCATAATGTAGAAATCCATTATATCTACTCATATTCTGAATTTCATCCCCTTTCGTTGAGAACTTAGAAAGTTACAGACATTTAAAGTTTCAGCCAATCAGATTGCAGCACACGTGCATGCGCATGCTTTCATGATAATTCTTATATATCATGCTGTAGATCTTCATAGTGTATGAATATGTTCAAAATTTCAAAGGATTTTGTCAAAAAACAAGAAAGATATTGATACTTTTGTTTCAGCCAATCAGAGCGAAGCGCACGCGCATGCGCGTGAGATCTTGCTATTTTGACCATGTCGTCATGTGTATACTACTAATATATCCTCATATTATGAGTTTCAAAGCATTTCATCAAAAAATAGAAAAGTTGTGGCTATATCTATTACATTAGTCATTTCACGTGTTGCACGTGCGCGCTCTTGCAAGCACGTGCGCGATGACCATGTCATCATGCCTAAACAACTAATATATACTTATATTATGAGTTTCAAAACACATAAACAAAAAATAGAAAAGTTACGGCTATATCTATTATATTGGTCATTTCACGTGTTGCACGTGCGCGCTCTTGTAAGCACGTGCGCGGAAAATGACCTTGATTCCGCAAATCTACATAACATGTCTACTAACCCTAAAAAGGTTTTACTTCGGGTGAACAGTTTACAAGAACACTCGCGGACAAAAAAGTACCCAGGAAGAAGAAGAAAAACTAGAAAGTCTGCTATTGCAAGCAATAGCATATGTCGCCCCGTATTGGACAAGACTTTCATTTTTATCATCACTAAAACAAAAGTCCATAAGCTAAGTTTGAAAACCTTTGAGTTATATCAGTCCTTTCCATTGGAAACGGAAGACCTTAATTCGGTACATCCCTCTCATTAGGGTCTTCCGTCTCCAACGGAAGACCCTTCTATTATTCTATTGTTTCTTTTTCACTTTTATTAAGGTCTTCCGTTTCAGACGGAAGACCTTATAGTGATTCTACTGTTTTTTCTTTTTATTATTATTATTATTTTTTTCCCTTTTTGTTTTGACGATTTCTCAGAGATGACTGGACGGATTCTCATGAAATTTTCAGAGATGATAGAGAGTCAAAATATCTTTCAAATGCAGTTTTCATTTTTTCAAAATTCACTTCCGGTCGTCAGATATGTCCGATTTCCGCTTTTTAAAAAAAAAATTGTCCCAGTCATATCTCAGAAACGGTAAGAGATGAAGACACCAAACTTATATGAGTAATAGATCTTGATAAGTAGGCGAAACCATTTGGGTTAACACAGTTCGCCGTCACTTCCGGTCGTCACAGGAAGTGATGAAAGAAATCGAAAATTTCAACTTTTCTTTTTTGAAATTTCTTTGGCAGCACAAAATAGTATTTCATTTGTAGTTTAGAAATATGTCAGTCCCACCGGAAACAATAACGACGACTTCCGGTTATAAGAGAAAAACTACAAAATTTGAGTATTTTTCTTTCCCATAAATATTTTTTATAGATAAAGTATTTTTAATGATTTTTGGATATGTTATTCAGACTGCAAATGTCTACAGTAACGTCAAATAGCTTTGTAAATTTCACTTCCGGTCGCGTGATTTACTGTCCTCAAAATGAGAAGTGATCATAGCTAGATCTCGTAAACGGAAAAAGATTAAGACACCAAACTTATACAATTGGTAGATCTTGATGAGTAGGCAACTTCAGTTTGGATAAGATTGTCCGCCGTCACTTCCGGTCGTCACAGGAAGTGTTCCAAAAAATCAAAATTTTCAAATTTTCTTTTATGAAACTTTTCTGGCATGACGTTATAATATCTTATTTGTATTTTTAAAATATATCAGTCCAACCGGAAACAAAAAAGTCAACTTCCGGTTTTAAGAGAAAAACTGCATAATTTTAGTATTTTTCTTTCCCCTAAATATTTCTTATACATGACATATTTGTAACGATTTTTGGATATGTAATTCACACTGCAAATGTCTACAGGAAGGTCAAATATCTTTGTTAAATTCACTTCCGGTCGCGTGATTTTCTGTCCTCAAATTGAGAAGTTATCATAGCTAGATCTTGTAAACGATAAGAGATTAAGACACCAAACTGTTTCAAGTGGTAGATCTTGATGATTAGGCAAAACCAGTTGGGATAACATTGTCCGCCGTCACTTCCGGTTGTCACAGAAAGTGATCAAAGAAATAGAAAAATTCAAATTTTCTTTTTTGAAACTGTTTTTGCATCACATTATAACATTTTATTTGTAGTTTCAAAATGTATCAGTCCCAACGGAAACAAAAATGTCAACTTCCGGTTTAAAGAGAAACACTACATAATTTGAGTATTTTTCTTTCCCATAAATATTTTTTATAGTTAAAGTATTTGTAATGATTTTTGGATATGTTATTTAGACTGCAAATGTCAACATTAGTCTCTAATATCTCAGTAAAATTCGCTTCCGGTCGCGTGACTTCCTGTCCTCAAAATCAGAAGTTATCATTGCTGGATCTCGTTAACGATAAGAGATTAAGACACCAAACTAATAGGGACGGAAGACCTTGTTGAGTAGACAAATCCTTTGAGTTTAAGATTGTCCGCCGTCACTTCCGTTTGTCACAGGAAGTGATCAAATAAATCAAAATTTTAAACTTTTCTTTATGGAATCTTTCTTAGTATTACCTTATAGCATCTTACTAGTAGTTTCGAAATATGTCAGTCCCATTGGAAACAAAAACGACGACTTCCGGTTATGAGAGAATTAACCGCATAAATTGAGTTTCTTACTATCCCATAAATATCTTTTATAAAAAGAGTATTTGAAATGATTTTGGGACATGTTATTGAGACTGCAAATGTCTAGAGAAACCTCAAAATAAGACCTTTGACCTTACTCAAAAAGTAATAAAGAAATATTCATTACCTTTATCTAGATTCAGCTTCAGCTTTAAGTGTTTATCTCAAGTTTACCTTCTCTCTCTCTCTCTCTCTCTCTCTGATGACCTTGACCTTTG